TCCAGGAGGATGTCAAAGCCACGGAGGATACTACCTTTGGCCACAGTGTTCTGGACAGTAAGGTAGGCCTTTTTTGGATTGATGGCAGTGGTTAATCTGGTGTCTCCTACCCCTCAGATTTTATTGCTTTGAAACATCACATGTAGTCATGATTATAGCCTGCTATGTGTCCCGTGATTTACGATAAAGACTATTAGATTTTTTTTCCCTACATACTTACCTGTAAAATCAATTTTTTTGAGTATATCAAAGGACACAGAGGTTCATTCCCTCTTCCTGGGAATTCATTGCTTGCTACAAAACTGAGGTACTTCCTGTGTAGGAGGGGTTATATAAGGGAGAACTTCCTGTTTGATCTGCCAGTGTCCATTTCCCTATAAGTGGTGCATAACCACATAGGCATGATTATACAGTGAGTAACAGAAGTATTTGAACACCCTGCAATTTTGAAAGTTCTCCCACTTAGAAATCATGGAAAGGTCTGAAATTCACATTGTAGGTGCATTCCCACTCTGAGAGACAGAATTAAAAAGAAAAAAAAAAACAATTCAGGAAATCACATTGTATGATTTTTAAAGTATTTATTTGTCTTGCACTGCTGAACATAAGTATTTGAACACCTGAGAAAAATCAGTGTTAATATTTGGTACAGAAGCCTTTGTTTGCAATTACAGAGGTCAAACATTTCCTGTAGTTCTTGACCAGGTTTGCACACACTGCAACAGGGATTTTGGCCCACTCCTCCACACAGATCTCCTCTAGATCTGTCAGGTTTCGGGGCTGTTGCTAAGCAACATGGAGTTTCAGCTCCCTCCAAAGATGTTCTATTGGATTTAGGTCTGGAGACTGGCTAAGCCACTCTAGAACCTTGATATGCTTCTTATGGAGCCACTCCTTGGTTATCCTGGCTGTGTGCTTAGGGTCGTTGTCATGTTGGAAGACCCAGCCACGACCCATCTTCAATGCTCCGACTGAGGGAAGGAGGTTGTTGCTCAAAATCTCACAATAAATGGCCCCATTCATCCTCTCCTTAATACAGTGCAGTCGTCCTCTCCCTTTCGCAGAAAAGCACCCCCAAAGCATGATGTTACCACCCCCATGCTTCACAGTAGGGATGGTGTTCTTGGGATGCAACTCCTCCTTCTTTTTCCTCCAAACACGACGAGTGAAGTTTAGACCAAAAAGTTTTACTTTGATCTCATCTGACCACATGACTTTCTCCCATGCCTCCTCTGGATCATCCAGATGGTCATTGGCAAACTTCAGACGGGCCTGGACATGTGATGACTTGAGCAGGGGAACCTTCCGTGCAATGCATGATTTGGAACAATCACGGCGTAGTGTTCTACCGACAGTGACCTTTGAAACTCTGGTCCCAGCTCTCTAAATGTCATTGACCAGCTCCTCCCTTGTAGTTCTGGGCTGATTCCTCACCTTTCTTATCATCAGTGATACCCCACGAGGTGAGATATTGCATGGAGCCCCAGTCCAAGGGAGACTGACAGTCCTCTTTAGCCTCTTCCATTTTTTAACAATTGCTCCAACAGTTGAGCTATTTTCACCAAGCTGCTTGGCAATTGCCCCATAGCCCTTTCCAGCCTTGTGGAGGTCCACAATTTTGTCTCTGGTGTCTTTTGACAGCTCTTTTTGGCCTTGCCCATGGTAGTAGTTGGTGTCTGACTGACTGTGGGGTGGACAGGTGTCTTTAAAGAGCTCAGACAAGCTTGATGTCCTAGAGGTGTTCTATTGGATTTAGGTCAGGCGAGCGTGGAGGCAATTCAATGGTATAAATTCCTTCATCCTCCATGAACTGCCTGCATACTCTCGCCACATGAGGCCAGGCATTGTCATGCACCAGGAGGAACTCAGGACCCGCTGCACCAACACAGGGTCTGACAGTGCGTCCAGGGATTTCACCCCGGTACCTAATGGCAGTCATGGTGCCATTGTCTAGCCGGTCTGTGCATCCCTCTATGGATATGCCTCCCCAGACCATCACTGACCCACCACCAAAACGGTCATGCTGAATGATGTTACAGGCAGCATAACGTTCTCCAGACCCTTTCATATCTGTCACATGTGCTCAGTGTGAACCTACTCTTATCTGTGAAAAGCACAGGGCGCCAGTGGTGGACCTGCCAATTCTGGTGTTCAATGTCAAATACCAGTCTAGCTCTATGGTGCCGGGCAGTGAACACTGGCCCCACTAGAGGATGTCAGGCCCTTGGGCCACCCTCATGAAGTCTGTTTCTGATTGTTTGGTCAGAGACATTCACACCAGTGGCCTGCTGGAGGTAATTTTGTAGGGCTCTGGCAGTGCTCATCCTGTTTCTCCTTGCACAAAGGAGCTGATACCGGTCCTGCTGATGGGTTAAGGACCTTCTACGGCCCTGTCCAGCTCTCCTAGAGTAATTGCCTGTCTCCTGGTATCTCCTCCATGCTCTTGAGACTGTGCTGGGTGACACCGCAAACCTTCTGGCAATGGCACATATTGATGTGCCATCCTGGAAAAGTTGGACTGTCTGTGCAAACTTTGTAGGGTCAGGGTATCGCCTCATGCTACCAATAGTGACACTTATCCTAGCCAAACGCAACAATAGTGAAAAACCATCAGAAAAGATGAGTAGGGAAAAAAAATGTCAGTGGCTTCCACCTGTAAAACAATTCCTTTTTTGTTTTTTTTTTTTGGGGGTTTTTTTTGTGGGGGGCACAGTTTCATACCTTTTTTGGCTCTGTATGCCACCAGAATAAATTTAAAACAAAACAATCCAAATTAATTTGAAGTTCAGACTTTCAGCTTTTAACCACTTGCCATCCGGCTGCTGTATATAAACGTCGAGACGGTGGCAGTCCAGGGGCACGTTGCCGTTCATAAACTGCGCCCACCATTATGGACTGTGCACGCTCCCTGGGAGTGTGCAGCACTGAGATCCGGTGCCGGCTGTGTCCTGTGTGAGGCCCCGATCATGTGATCACTGATTGGCCAATCAGTAATCACATAAAGAGTAGTAAGCAAGATGTCACTTCTGACATCATTGCTTACTACGTGTGAAATCTGTGAATGATCACAGAGGTCACATGGTACAAGGCTATTCACAACAGCCTTGTACCATGTGACAAGCTGTGACCAATCACAGCTCACACAGTAGTCTTTCAATGGCTGCAAGAATGTAGCCACAGAGAAAGAGAAATGATTGCTTTTACAGCCTTTATGGGTGTAAAAGCAATTCGTGTAAACAAAAAAAAAAAAATCTTCATCACCCCCCACAAGTAGTACGGTGTCACCATGGTGACACTGTACTGCTAGAGTGACCGTATGAAGAAAAAAAAACAAAGTATTAAAAAAAAAATTAAAAATTATAATTTTTGGTTGTAAACTAATTTGGGTTATTTGTTTTTCCTAAAAAGATAACAATACAATTTGGCCAAGATTTATGATGAAATATTATTTATTTGCAAAATTTTATAAGAAACACTTTTTTCAAAATGTTTGGACTTTTTCATTTATATAGAAAAAAAAATCCCAGTGGTGAATAATTACCACCAAAATAAAGCTTTATCTGTCTCAAAAAAATGCTAAAAAAATCATATGGGTACAGTGTTGCATGACCGCTCAATTATCATTCAAAAGTGTGATCGCACTGAAAGCTGAAAATTGGCCTGGACAGGAAGGGGGTAAAAGTGTCCGGACTGGAAGTGGTTAATTTTTTTTGCACAGTCCCTCTATTTTCAGGGGCTCAAATGTAATTAGACAAATAATTATAATCAAAAATACAATGTTAATTTGTAATATTTTGTTGAGAATCTTTACTGGCAATGACTGCTAGAAGTCTGGAACCCATGGACATTACCAAAGACTGGGTTTCTTCCTTTCTGATGCTTTGCCAGGCTCTAACTGCAGCTGTCTTCAGTTGTTCTTTTGTTTATGGGTCTTTCTGCCTTTTAGTTTTGCCTTCAGAAAGTGAAATGCATGCTCAATTGGATTGAGATCAGGTGATTGACCTGGCCATTGCAGAATATTCCACTTTTCCTTCAAAAGCTCCTGGGTTGTTTTTGCAATGTGTTTTGGATCATTGTCCATCTGTACTGTGAAGTGCCGTCCTATCAACTTTGATGCATTTGGCTAAATCTGGGCTGACCGTATATCTCTAACACTGAAGAATTCATCCGACTGCTTCTGTCTTTTATCACATCATCAATAAACACCATTAACCCAGTGCCACTGGAAGCCGTGCATGCTCATGCCATCACACTGCCTCCACCATGTTTTACAGATGATGTTGTGTGATTTGCAGACCAATTCCACAGTGACAGAACCTTGTACAATCACAACACTTTGGGCTCATTCACTCCATGGTGTATGACAAGGGTATGACAAAATCAATTTTTCTCTATGTACCCTGTTCACACCACAACACTAGTGTCATGTTCAGATTTTTTTTCTGTGCAGGAATCTGCAGCATGTATAAAACTCATTGAGGCGTGCATGAAAACTGATATAAACTTATGTCTCTGCAAGTGAAATCTGCACGTCAGTTTCCACCAGTTTTCCTGCACATATAATGTGAACGAGGCCTTATAGAAAAAGGTAATTTGTAATAACTGTAAAACCTTTCTTCAGTAGTTCCTTTCGGAGATGGGGGTCCCATGTACTTTAAGTTCATAGAGGTCAGGGTTAAAAGGTAAACATTACGTGAAGTTACATTTGATGGTTAGCTACTCCTAGCAAGCCTTATGCTTTCAAATCTAGTGAGAGGGCATTTACCCAATGGTCTACTGTGTTCCTCAGGAAACTAATGAAGAAAATTATATTTATGGTGGGTAAAAAAATCATGCTGCTATTCAAAATCAAGAAAGTGCACCTACTCTGACACTGTTCTTTCATTATTTTCGATCATATAATTCTAACTATATGCTTGAGATGATTGTGGCCGTATTCGTGCACTTGCATCAGAAACTATATAACTATATGCTCCAACTTGTGTATTTTATCCCAATAGTCTGGATTCGAAATATGGATTTGAACATGCAGTGGCTCCCAAAAGAAGGCGATCTTGTATTCCTGATAGTGCCTGAGTCTCCAAGCACATCGCCCAAAGAAGAGAGTGATTTACAAGCACCCCCATTTTACCACACAGGACATGTTTCCCGCTTCATACGCACGCAATACACACAGACCTGTAAGTACTGAGCAGTTAGTCTTCTGAGAATGTGTGTTTCGCTAATATCATGCTTAACCTGGTGACATTGCTGCATTCTCTGTACTGTCTTGCAGTGGAGAAGGAACAGTACACACTCTGTGAGCTGAGCATTCACACCCATGGAAATCTTTTACCATACTGCAAACAGCAAGTACGGTGTGCAGTGATTGGCAGCTTGATAACCACTCAGAGGCAGTACAAAGCTCTTATACAACTGCAGAGGAACCCTTTATTTAAGCCTATTATCTATCCTACCATGAATGATTTCCTTCCACGAAATAAGCTTGAAAACAATGGCAGTTGGGTAAGTCATTTTTCCTTTGCAGTTTGTACTAATGGTTAAAAAGATGTTGCTGGTCATTTGAATATTTTATGAAAATTATGATGGCTATCATATTGTAATGTTTTGATGACCTCTATATGATTATATACACTAGGTACACTTGATCTAGTTATAAATATACAGAAATCCCCCTGCGCTCCACAGAACCTAGTGAGTTAGCTGCTATCACCTATTCTCTATACCGCAAGATATGTGAAACAAAATTATATAAGTGGTGAAGCGCTCAACTTAAATAATAGTGACAATTATTTTAATCAATATAAATAAAAAAAAATGGTGCAATATCCCCATATATAAATTATACGTCCCTGGTGGTATAGTGATAAACAAAAAATACCTCTTGAGCTATGCAAATATGCAAATATAAAATAAATGAAAAACTAGTGCAATATCCTCATATATGACTTGTACATCCCTGATGGTAAAGTGATGAACAACTAATACCTCTTAAACTGTGCAAAAGTGATACTTAAATTCAATTAATTAAACCAATTGAATAAGATATTAATTACAATAAATTAAATTGTGATGCCACACTGTGCAAAATCATGAAAAAGTGTTCAAATGATGTCACTCCATGCTGCAATAGTGCTCTTCGTGAAAATCTTGACGTGACTCCCCTCAATAATAGCCAAAATGCCCCCTCACCTTCCACATTCGACCCTTGCGGGTCACAGAGCTTTATATATATATATATATATATATATATATATATATATATATATATATATATATATATATATATATATATATATATATATATATATATATATATATATCTCTGCCAGATATTATTCTCCTCCACTGCCTCCACCGACCAAGATCCTCCTCCAGGCAATAAGTTACACTCCAATAACTCCCCTCACAAACAGGACTCAGACACAGGGCGCATATGCAAGAAAAAAGCAGACCTCCATAGTGCAACACTGTTTTAATGCACTCAGCGATAAAATGAAAAAATGCACTCACATATCCTCCCAACAGCGAGAAGCAGTTCCCATGTGCTATGGGTGTATACAGGTGTACAAAGATGGCGTCCGGAACCGGAAGTACGTCACCCCTATGAGCGGAAATACGTCGACGAGTTGCGCCACGATCACGTGGCTTCTTCAGGATACCGCATTGGATGGCCGCACTTCCTTTTAACTACTCAGGATAATCTACAAAGGGCGTGTATATTACCTCCATTTTCATGGAGCCCACTATGCATAGGGCGGCCGCGATCCGCCGCTACTTCCCCTGGTTTCCCATTAAGCCTTCACTACTGCTCCTAAAATAATACAAATAACCCCCCACAAAAACTTTTATTAAACCCCATGATTAATATTATTAAAATAGGTATATACTCTATACCCAAATACAATTATATGACCAAGGAAAATTATAAATATATACAAACCTAATCAGGGGATAAATCAATGTATGTGTAAAAACACACATATCCACTACTAATGATTCCCCTCCCCCCTAAACATATTTTTTTAAAATTACCCCATTATATAAATTTTTAATTTAATATATTATAGTTATTTTAAACATATTAATTTGAAGAAGTATTAAATTAATTTACACCTAATTCTACATAATTTAATAAAACTCCAATAAAAACATAATCTGATAAAAACTCCTGTATAATACCCATACCACATGTTCACATAAATGGAATCATATATTTCTAAAACCACCAAATTAAACATTCTAAACTTTAACCAAGTAATATTAAAAATCATTAATGAAACAATTGAGGTCAAATTCAATATTTAAGCCTCTAGGTGTCAGCGTTTGCATAAGAAAAATCCATTTGGACTCCGCCTGACTTATTGTTCTCACTTTGTGGCTCCCTCTCCAGTGTTTTCTATATCGTTCTACCCCCCAGAATTTCAATCCCGAGGGGTCATTCCCATGATGACTAGCGAAATGTTTGGAGACACTATGTTTTGGGTTACCCTTTTGTATATTTTTCACATGTTCTCTTAATCTCACCCACAAAGCCCTTTTAGTACGTCCCAAATACTGCAGACCACAGTTACACTCTAGAACGTAAATGATCCCTTCAGTTTTACACGTAATAAAATCTTTGATCTCAAATGGCCTCCCTTTGCTATTAGATGCAAACTCTTTCTTCTTTTGATTTTGCCCTTTTGTGACTTTGCAGACACTACATTTTTTACAAGGATAAAAACCTGTAACATTAAACAGGGTACTTTCTCTATTTATCTTAGGTGGATCTAATACATTCTTCATAATTTTATTCCTCAAAATAGGAGCTCTCCTGTAGATAAATTTGGGTTGTTCTGGCAATATATTGCCTAGTAGGGGGTCCATTTTTAAAATCGGCCAGTGCTTCTTAAAAATATTTTGGATCTTTTTATATTGTAAATTAAAATCCAGAATCACCGCTACTTGATCAGCCTTCTCCTTATCATCACTTTTTATTTTATTCACAATAAGTCTCTCTCTATCCATATTGGCCACCTCCAGTTTATTCTTCTCGAGACCAAACACAGAATAACCTTTGGATGCAAACCTTTTTTCTAAAATCATGGCCTGAGTATTATAATCTTCTTTGTATGTACAATTTCTTTTTAACCTGATGAACTGGCCCTTTGGGATGTTCAGTAACCAAGGGGGAAAATGACAACTCTCTATCGGGATGTAACCATTCCGGTCCACATCCTTGAAATGCGTTTTGGTACTAATAATTTCCCCTTGTACTTGGATGTCCAAATCTAAAAATTGAATGGACTGATTACTGCATTTCCATACAAACTTTATGTTCTTATTATTATTATTTTTAATTGTTTTAAAAAATCCATCAGTTTTCTTTCATCCCCTTTCCATATGATGAATACATCATCTATGTATCTCTTATACATTGCCAGTTCAGCAGGTTTATCTTTATATACCAAATCTTGTTCCCAGTGGGCCATGAACAAGTTTGCCACACTTGGGGCAAAACGAGCTCCCATAGCTACACCCCTAATCTGTCTATAGAAAACCTTGTCATACCAAAAGTAGTTATGGCTCAGACTGAAATCAAGACATTGTATAATAAATTTCCTCTGCGTCCGATTTAGGTTACTTAATTCCCTAAGACCCCACCCCGTGGCTTCCAATGCATCTTCATGGTTAATGATAGTATATAACGAGGATACATCAGCACTAGCCAATATTATGTTAGAGCTCCCTTTTTCTTCTTCCAGAAGTTGAATTAGATGTTTGGTATCTCTCAGAAACGATACCGTATTCTGGACCAATGGTTGTAGAAAGGTATCTATATATTGGCCTAGTCTGGCCAATACCGATTGGATACCGTTAACAATCGGCCTCCCCGGTGGATTAACAGAATCTTTATGCATCTTCGGAATTGTATAGATTACCGGTATACGACAGCATTCTGGTACCAAATATCTGCCCTCTTTACTATTTAGTATTTTTTTCTTTTCACCTATTTTAATTAGCTGTTCCAATTCCTTTCTGTATATCCTTGTGGGGTCTTTTAGTAATTTTTGATATGTATCCACATCATCCTCATCACACATCATCATCATCTAGTACACTACTCAAGTTTATAATACCAATGTTATACCATTATGGGAGATCTTCCCATGATCTGAATGTACAGTCAGGTCCATAAATATTGGGACATCGACACAATTCTAACATTTTTGGCTCTATACACCACCACAATGGATTTGAAATGAAATGAATAAGATGTGCTTTAACTGCAGACTGTCAGCTTTAATTTGAGGGTATTTACATCCAAATCAGGTGAACGGTGTAGGAATTACAACAGTTTGCATATGTGCCTCCCACTTGTTATAATTGTTAAGGAAGAACTTCCTAAAAATGGGGACTATCCCTATAGTTGTTACAGCCATTTCCTGTCTGAACAGGACTTTGATTATCCCAGTGGTGTCCTTGTGTTTCCTGTCACTTTTGGTTTGACAGACCTTCACACTACACTGAAGCAGCTTCTTCCTCCGAAATCATGGCCAAAGGGACCCTATACTGAAATGAATAATGGTTACATCATTCAGGTGCTAAAATCTTACATGGAATCCGCCAAGTTGGTATTTGCTCCCTCCATATAGGGAACCTTTCGTCCTCTGCGTAACTCGTTTAATGTGATAATAAAATAGTCTTATAATATAAAAGTGTTCAGAAATCGTGCAGGCTTGACTTGGTCAGGTCAGCAAATTCATGCTTCATTCATATAAATTCATAAGTGACTTCCATTCAGAATCCGTGTGAGCACTCGCCAGATGCAGATTAGGTGGATCTGTCAGCCAGCCTGGATCAAGGATCCCTCCTCTGGACACCAGCCTCCTCTGCAGCCACGCTTCCTCTGTGGGTCTCTGTGATCTTAGCTCAGATCAGAGCCAAATGATAAGAATTGCCTCATAGTGTAGTACTTAAAATAATCGAATATTCTACTAAGCAAAGCACAAGTGACTGATCAGCCACTCTCCAAAATGGCCGCCAGACCTTCGTGCGGCTCTGGCGGCGTGATGTTACGACGTTATGGCTCCTCCTTGACGCATTTTGTGCCAATGCACGTTATCAAAAGGGGTAACGCACAAATTTGCTGACCTGACCACGTCAAGCCTGCACTATTTCTGAACACTTTTATATTATAAGACTATTTTGTTATCACATTCTATTATTGTGCTTGATGCGCAATATTCACCTGGATTCATAATTTCATTACTGTATTTCGCATTATATATATATATTATAAGTGATATTAAATCTGCAATTTAATAGCCTCAGAGGTTGGCTGTGAAGAAGAGGCGAAGCCCTCGAAATGCATTAGCCTGTTGGAAGTCTAGGGTTCCAATTGCGGATTTACATGTAGTGTGGATTGGACACCGCTGGGCTGTGTGATGTGCCTCTGACGTTTATGTGCGTACAACAGCTACATTTTTATCATTTCAATAAATATTTTTAATGATAATGCA